CAGTACCACGCACACGTCTTGAGTAATCTGATTTTCCTATGGCTGTCGCCAATATATCTTGTCGACCATGAGGAATAAATGATCATTGGGTGGTCTGCTCAACTAAATCATCCTACAACACATTAACAATAACTAAGTCATACACTAACTTTCACATCAGAATCAATTCAAATTGACATTATAACTTATGATTTGCTGAGCAATGATTCGTGCAGACTCAGAAGTTATTTGTCCATCAAATTTTGTCAGGGTTGCCTTCCACATCTCATAGCGAGGGGGTGGAGATGCAAGGTCAGTAGACTCAACTCCTGTTGACTCTTCTCTGGCTTTTATGAGACGTTGCTCCAATAATGCATACCCTCCTCGTGACAATACATGTGGTACATCATTCAACCTCTGACGTTGTTGGGCAGCACGTCTTTTATCCTGCCAAGAAGGGTCCATTCGACTGACACAAAATTGTAATCAATCCTCCTCACTAATTTGATACTCTAGATAGGGAGATTCATCTTGAAACTTTCCAAATACATACTCCCATGTTAAGAAAATCTTAAAGTCCCTCCATCTAATGGCAATGGAGGATAAAATCTTCTTCCTCATCACCTCAGTGTTAGGAACTTCAAAATTTTGCTGTGAAATGACCAATAAATGTTAAATTCAATTAATGATATATAAAGTATTTAACAAATATAGAAATACCTGAACATCCTGCCACATGAGGTTCTTCTCGGTTTCCTCTACATCATCCCAAGATGGAGTAGTAATCGGAACATGGTGTCGAGCTAGTAATCTCAAATAGCTCTTAAACTTAGCAGCATTTGGGCCAGATGCCTTACCAGAATGTGGATCAACTTCAACTTGAGTTTTCTCTCTACCTACCCTCATTGCTGTCAACCCCTTTAACCGGGTGACACATCTACCTCTACCTCCACCTCCGCTCCTACCACTGCCACTACTACTACCAGTACCAGATGTGGAATCCGACATATCCTGAAAAACAAAACAATATGAAGTCAACATACTTTATAAGTTTGAATAAAAAGAACTAGAAAATGTGAGGATAAACACCTATTATGTTGGTATGTTTTCCCATATCCCTTCATCATGATCACTTCAAATTGCATGTATGTCATCAACTTCATTGTCAACTATGTCATCAAATGGTCTACTTGAAAACGAAGGTGTTTCATGTATATCTAGAGACTCATCTTCATGAATTCCGTGCATGTTTCTTCCTTTAAGGACAATTGACCATCTCTCATTACATGGATCATTGACATAAAATATTTGTCTCGCTTGATATGTCATAATAAAAGGTTCATCCTTATACCCAACTTTACTCAAATCAACCAAAGTAAATCCTAGGTCATCTGTTTGCACACCCGTATTCTCTTCAACCCATTTACACTTGAAGACAGACACCCTAAAAGTAACATAATCAATTTCCCATATCTCTTGTATGACCCCAAAATAACTCATAGAAGCTATGATAGGATTTTTGTCTTTAGAATTAGAAAATTGCATAGATTCAGCTTGAATTGTGACCCCACTATTTTGTGCTCTACTTTTATCATCTTCTATTTTTGAGTAGAAACAATAGTTATTAATGTCATACCCACCAAATGTAATGACATCACTATTAGGCCCACGAGCAAGTCTCAAAAGTGTTTCTGAAACATTAATCTCAACATATACCCTTTTTTTAAACCAAGAAAGGAAGCTTTTGTTATGTTCATTCAATACCCATTTTTCATTCATTCGTGGATGTGTTGTCTTTATTTCAGTTATGTGTTGCGATATGTAAAAAATTACTTCATTAGTGTTGTTCAATATGTATAAATGTGCTTGGTCAACTTCTTTCTGACTAACATTTTTAATCTTTAAATTTCGAGTACCTTTACCTTCACATCTTCCATCATGTCTCATCTTAGGAATACCTATTGGTTTTGATTTTGACATGTATCCTAAACAAAACTCAATGACTTTTTCTGCAATGTATCTTTCCACAATAGAAGTTTCTGACCTGTACTGATTCTTCACATATCCTTTTAAGATCTTCATGTATCTCTCAACAGGATACATCCATCTAAGAAAAATTGGATAACATAAACGAATTTTCCTTACCAAATGGACTATCAAATGCACCATGATATCAAAAAATGAAGGGGGAAAATACATTTCTAACTGACACACTATTACAATTGCTTCATTTTCTAATTCATCTAAATTTTTTGGATCAATTACCTTTTTACAAATGGCGTTGAAAAACAAACATAACCGAGTAATAACAACTCTAACAGAAGTTGGTAAGATGTTTTGAATAGCCACTGGTAAAAGTTGTTGCATCAACACATGACAATCATGAGACTTTAAATCAATTAATTTCAACTCTTGCATAGACACAAAACTCTTAATATTTGAGAAGTATCCTTGTGGCACTTTGACCTCACGTAAACACTCACAAAAGCTTCTCTTTTCTTTTTTTGATAGAGTATGACAAGTTGGAGGAAAGTAAGTGCGTTTTCCAACTGATTGTAGATGTAATTCAGAACGTATACCCATGTCCACCAAATTTTGTCGTGCTTTTATTCCATCTTTTGTCTTTCCTTTTATGTTAAGCAATGTCCCAATTATACTATCACAAACATTTTTTTAAACATGCATCACATCTATACAGTGTCTAACTTCCAACTTACACTAATAAGGAAGATTGAAGAATACAAATTGTTTCTTCCAAATGTTTTTCTCATTGGATTTCTTTTGGGTCTTTCCAAACACAATATTAATATTTTTCACTTGCTCATATACTTGTTCACCATTGCGTGGTGCTGATGCAATTGCATTCTCCTGACATCCATTAAATGCTTTCTTCATTTTACGATATGGATGGTTAGCAACTAGAAACTTTCTATGCCTGTTGTACACAATTTTTTGTTCATGTTTCAATTGGATATAACTTGTGTCTTCTTGACATAAAGGGCATGTTAAATGACCTTTCACACTATAACCGCTCAAATTACCATATGTTGGAAAATTATTTATAGTACAAAATAACATTGCACGCAACCTGAAATTCACTTCGTGATATGAATAAAATACCTCCACTCCTGTTTCCCACAACATCTTCAAATCATCAATTAAAGGACTAAGATATATATCTATGTCATTTCCTGGTTGTCGAGGTTCTGAAATCATCATAGATAACATAATATATTTTCTCTTCATGCATAACCAAGGAGGCAAATTGTAAATGATCAACAAAATTGGCCATGAATTATGTTTACTACTTAAATTTCCATAAGGATCCATCCTATCTGTAGCTAATCAAATTCTCAAGTTTCTTGGCTCTGCACCAAATTCTGGAAAGGTTTCATCAATCCTTTTCCATTGTGGAGAATCAGCTAGATGTCGAAGAAGATTGTCACATTTTCTACCATTTGCATGTCATGTCAAGTTTCTTGCATCTTCTTTTATGGAAAATAATCTTTTAAACCTATGTATAATTGGTAAATATCATAACACCTTAGTAGGGGACCATCTAGTTCTTCTTCACCACTACTTTTCTCAACTTTATTTTTGAACCTCGACAAACCACATGTCGGACACATCTTTAATTTAGCAAAATCATTTTTGTACAATATACAATCATTAGGACATGCATGTATCTTCTTGTACTCTAAATCCATTAGACATAATATCTTCTTTGTCTCATAGTTACGAATAGGTAATGTATTATCTTCAGGAAGCATCTCCTTCAACAACTCCAATAATTCGGTGAAACTTTTATCAGTCCATCAATTTCTTGCTTTTAAAGTAAATAATTTTAAAGTTGCTGATAATCTTGTAAAACTATATCCTATGTACAATTGTTGCGCAAAATTAGATTTCAAAGAATCATATAGATGTGCTTTCATAAAATTTTCTTCACCAATATCACGTATCATATCTTCTAGATTATCATTCATCCCTTCGTCAAAATTGTCTGTATTTGACATAGTTGGGATGTCTAATATTTCTCCATGTCATGTCCATATTGTATAACTCTTAATAATACCACAAACAAACAAGTGATCACATGTATCATCAAGTTTATGACGAATTTGATTCAAACAACAAACACATGGACAATAATATGTCCCTTCATAGCTTTTCCATTTTCACTAGCAAATTTAAAACATTCCTCAACTCCCTTTTCGTACTCTTCACTAATACGACGTGCATTCATCTAACTTCGATTCATATTATGTTATAAAATTTCGTCACTCCTAGAGATTTAAAATTTATATGTAAAAGAAATTAATATACAAACAACAAAGCACGTAAATGGAGTGTGTAAACCGAAAATACACTCAAACAAATAAACAAATAATTACATTCCAATAACAATTCAGTGGAGACATTCATACAATAATGTGATTGAGATCCCCAAAAACAATCACGGATTCAATTTAAACATATATCAGAAGACATAAAACACTAACCTCGAGTGTACACGAAAATGATTTCAAACTCGAATCCAATAAGAGAGAAATGTCCAGTTCGTAAAATGAGACACAATGTTGATGTTTTTCACTGACAAAATGATCGAAAATGGTGTGCAGAGGTAGTTGTCGTCGTCGTTCTCATTGTCGTTCTCAAAAATCCTTGCTGCGCGAAACGAGAGAGCGGGTCTGGAAGAGTATAAAAGGTAGTTTTTACGTCGCGCACCCCAACACACGACATAAAAGATGCTTTTTACGTCACCTCCTAGGATGTGTGACATAAAAATTTTGCCTCTTATTTACAAAATTGTCACGGTATTTTATTTACGTCGAATATTTTTACATGCGACGATAATTATGTGACGTAGAAGGTTTTTTTGCACTAGTGAAAGAATGAATGAAAACTAATTTATATATAGCGAAAATTGGGGGTGTGAATAGCAGGAACCAAAGATAAACTCGACTGGACCCAAACTCGATCCAAGCGAAGTCCAAACCCCATATCCGTTGAAGAAGTACATGAACACTTGTTTGGTTGCGCAGGAGGGATCTTTCACCTCGCGCCGTCTCTGAGGTTCAATTCTGGGTAAGATTTTCTTCCAATTTGTTACCGGATTCGCAAGCCTCCGTGCTTTTGATTTCATTGACATTAAACTGTTATTCTCATACTCACTCAAAACTCCATTAACTTGTGCTTTTTCTGTGCAATTTTATTCTTACTTTGTATCATCGTAAACGGTATTTTAGTCGTCATAATGGTGAGGGTTAGCGTCTTGAATGATGCTCTCAAGAGCATGTACAACGCCGAGAAACGTGGGAAGCGCCAGGTCATGATTAGACCATCCTCCAAGGTTATCATCAAATTCCTCTTGGTGATGCAGAAGCATGGTATTTCTCAACATCTTTTTTTTTTTTTTTTGGCCCTTAATTGAATATAATAACAACTTGTTCCAGTGTTGTCACAATTTGTTATGCTCTGGTGATTTGTAGGATACATTGGTGAGTTTGAGTATGTTGATGACCATAGGGCTGGGAAAATCGTCGTCGAATTGAATGGGAGGCTGAATAAATGTGGGGTTATAAGCCCCCGCTTTGATGTTGGTGTCAAAGAGATTGAAGGTTGGACTGCAAGACTGCTCCCCTCCAGACAGGTAGCCTGGAAACCCTTGCTTATTCACGCATTTGCCTATGCTGTATAAAAGATATAATCTGGTTAATGAATTAGTTAGTTCTCTGAATCCTATCTACCCAATCTGCTATGAACAACCTTTTTAATGGTATGTTCGAGAGTGGGGTCTTGGAGGGGAAGGGGCTGGAACATGGATTTTTTTATCCTCAAGATAACAGAATTACGTGATGTTTGTGAAAATAAACATACGGTAATAAGACACAAATGTTAATCTTTTGTTTTATTTTTATTTTCGAAATTACATCAACACCTCCTTTAGCTTCCTGCAATACAGACCTGATTTTTGTTTGATAACCCCCCTTGATTTTTTGAAATACATCTACACTAACAGTTCTCTTACCGAGAACACATTACACTGTTTGCCTTAGTAAGGTAGGTAGTTAACGTTTAAAAGGAAGCAGTACTGTGTGAATTTTGAAGGAACTACATGAAGTAATTCATTCTTAAAATACTATTAAATTAGGGACTCTTTAGTTCCAAAGAGGAGAAGGGAGGTAAGATATTTTAGTAGAAGGAAGGGGAAGGGAAAGGATCTGAGAGATTTTGATTAGACACTATGTTTGATTGAGAGGATTGGAGAGCAGACGAGGAATTTTTATGACAGAGGGGAATTAACCATTTCTTGTTTGTTTCGCAAGGGGAGGGAAAGTCTTTTAAAATCTATTTTATTTTTTGTACTCTTATAATTTTAAATTTCAGATCATAAGTAGGGATTTGCTAGCCATTACAGTTAAAATGTTTCAAATCTCCTTTTCCTTCCCTCCAAATTCCTCTGAGATTGGAGGGATGGGAAAATTAGATTAGCAAGGGATTTTGGTCTCCTCCATTCCTCTTTCCTTCCTTTCTAAAAATATTTTACTAAGCTATGAAAGTTTTAAAAGATTTTTTCCCCTTCCTCTCCTCCCTTCCATTTCCTTCCAAGCATACAATAAAGAATATTAATATTTAAGATGAAGTGTAAATTTAACCCTCGTTTACCTTAACCTCTAAATCCACTCTTAACCGTAGCTAACTTTTCTTTTTAAGTTTCCATGTAAGACACTTATTTATATTTAAGATGGATAAATTCCATTTGTTGTTCATTGTTGCAGACCTTTATCATCGGTGAGAATTTTTCTTGATTACTCACAGCAGGTTATATAACTATAATGACACTGTATAGGTTATAGTGTTTGGCTTGGTTTTCTTTAATCTCTTAGATTTCCTTTGTTTGGTTGGGTGAAAGAAATTGAGAGAGTGGAGAGAAAAGAAGAGAAATAGGTGACCGCAAAAATAACATCCCAATGATAAGCAAAGACCCATATAGATTATGTTCTACTACAGAATAACTAGTGTAGAAATTCAAAACCAATCACAAAACCTATTTACTTAAATGCACACAACATTCTAATGTCAACCCAAGAACCAATTTAAGAAGCTTACCTGAGAAAATTACCACGTGGTAGCTCTGGGGAAGATGAAGTTGGCTCTTCATTGATGTGGCTACGGTTGGTTCACCACAGGGAAGATGGGGAAGTTTGCAAGGTGAAGGAGTCATGGGTTAGCTATGCCAAAAGAAGGGGTAATTGGGACAGAAGTCACTTGCCACAATGGCTTTCCCTTCCTTTCTCATCAGAGCACGAAGAAAGAACACGCAAAGAAATTCACTACTATTTCCTTGCAAATAGACTCAAATCAGCTGAAGTAAACCCATGCCAGATTTTCTGATTCATCCATTTCCATGCTCTACTGCTGTCCATCAAGCATATAAGCATGAAAGTAGTTCGTCCAAATTCTCTCACATAAGATCTATTTTCTTTGCTCTTTTGTTCAATAACAAAAAAGCTACCTTTGTCTTTAATATAGTTGTTGGTTGGGGGAAAGAAAGAAGAGGGAAGTGAAATGGAGGGGAGTAAACTATCCTTTCAACGGGAAGAGAAGCACCAAAAAATTTACCTTAAAAGACTTAAATATAAAGAATGCAAACCTTTCTGTTTCAGTATTGCTGTTGTGCCAGCATATAGGAATATTTCTTTTGTAATGTACACTTGTAGATTCTTATGGATGGTTGTGGTCAAAACTTGGTTTCCTTGGCAATCTTTTATGAAATAGAGTCAATTTACTTGTGTAGATGTGAAATTGCTATCCTATCTGTTATTTAACTTGTTGTTGTCCTATTTTCTGGTGTATGCATATGGTTTGATCTGGTTGCCCCTTAACTTTGATTTCTCAAAATCACGCAGTTTGGGTTTATTGTCTTGACAACATCGGCGGGTATCATGGATCATGAAGAAGCCAGAAGAAAGAATGTTGGTGGTAAAGTGTTGGGTTTCTTCTACTAGGCTAGTTTTTTTGTTTGTGGTCACTATGATTTCAGTTTGAGATTCACCGGTTTTGTTGGACAATGTGCTAGTTTGCTAGCGCCGAGTTATAGAGAGCAAGATGTTCTTTTATGTTTTTTCTTAATTTGCCTGTTTTAAAATTAATTTAGCCACTGCAAATTGTATCTGGTAATTTTTTCGTGGTTGCAAGAATCAATGGAGGTGGGTATATTTGATTTGAGAAAGGTGAAAGCATTTCATTTTCTTTTGGGTGGAGTTAATTCTGGGTGAGATTCTTAAAGCCTTGGAAAGTTTGAAAACGTTCAATATTTTCTTTATCTAGCATGTATGGAGATTTATAATAATTCAGTGTAATTTACCATTTCGCTCAATATTCTCCTTGAAATGTTAGAAATATGTATATAAGAATATGCCCTTGCTCATAAATATATTAAGAATTTAGCTAACCTATTAATAAATATTGATATTAAATCATGACGAAATTTATTAATACCATTGAATATTATATTTTATTATGAAAATTATGATAATTTCTAGATTGATAAATGCATTTTTAACATATTTGTATCTACTAATAAATTTCTCTTTGACGATGTCTCACTTAATATATTTTCTATTTTTTTTATTTTTTACATGTTTTTTTTAAGACAACCATGTTTGAAATTTATGTTGATTACTTTAACAAAAGTAGCTAAAAAATGTTTGTTGAAGACAATAAAACTAGTTAAAAAAGTGACAAATTAGTAATTAACCAGTAACTTAAATATTATTAAATTATGAGTATTTAATAAAACTATTTTTTGAAGTAGCTTATAATTGCAAAATGTTAGAAATAAGCATTTTTTATATATAAGTTTTAATTTTGTAGATAAAAATATATTTGAAAGAATTTATAGTATTTTTTAACAAAATTTAAAACTCTTGTAATCTTTATTTATAGATCAGTATTTTGAATTACATTGCTTTATTTCAATTATTGCATTTTTCATATAGTATGTATATTCTACTCTTAATTTTATATTCTATTTCATATATTTTCTATAGAATTTAAAATAAATTAAATAACTTTAGGTATACATCGTAATTTGATCACGTCAATTAACCTAATTGTAAAGAAAAAAATAATATAAAAAAATCAAATAACAGCAAATATCTTGAAGCATAAGGCTGGAATATAATGACAAAATAAAATATTGTACATAGTATTATATTTAAAATGAATAATTTGATATAAAATATCCAAAAACTAATGATAAAGAAAATAAAATCATTATCAGTAATGATGGATATATTATGTAATAAAAATAAAATAATAAAAATATGTATTATTAAAAGCATAAAAGACCCCTACCTTATAGTGAAAGAAAAGAAAAATATATATTTTCTTATTTTATGTAAAATTAAAAAAGTGAAAGAGAAATTATGAAATAATTTGAGTAAAATAAAACAAAATAAAAAATAGAAACTAGATTAGCTAGTGTCTTAGAATAGTTTTTTTAAAATAATTATAAATGATTATTTAACTAATACTATTATTAAAATCAAACAAACTTATCAATATAAAAGTAGAAAAAAAAAACTTATCATAAGCAATAAAATTAAAGTAGTTGAATATGACTTTAATATGGATGAATATTTATATTTTCAAATCAGATTAAGAGAGAGAAATTGTATGTCATTTATTTTAATATTTATTATTACAAAATGTTAACTAATTAAGAATATTTAAGAAAAAAAAACACACAATCAATGTATCATTCAACTATAAAGTGGTGATATTAAAAAGGGACAACAAATATTTTGAAAAGGACATTTTAAATAAGAAGGTAGAAAATATTTTACGCTTAATTTCTTTTATCAAAATATTAAAAATAGAATTTTAATTTGAACAGATTTATCTAATATTTAATTTATTTAAACAATTTACAAACTTAATTATTTAATTTTTTTCAAGTATAATAAATATATTGAAAATGGATCCTCGAAAGGCAACTACATTGTTAAATTTTATTTTTGCATACATGTACTTCCTCCTATCCTTAACATAAGGTATATTTTAGAAGAATTCCCTTTATAAGACATTTTGCAATATTTGTACAAAGTATTAAAATTTGTTTACCTTATTTGTCTCTATTAAATATTATGAACAAGTGTTTTTTATTAATATATAATGAAAAGATAATTTTAAAAGTCATTAATAATTGAGTATAAATTTAGTATATTGATAACATTGTACTAAAAATTCAACAAAAAAAATTCTGAATTAACTATTTTTATTTATATATTTAATTATGTTAGGAGGGAATAGTATAAAATTAATTTTTTGTGTTGTAATAATTTGCATAATTTTTTTTAATGAAGGAACATTAATTTTGATAATAATATTAAAAAATTATATACATTTACAAAATAACTGTTGTTTATAATTCTTATTTTTTTCAAAATATTGTATTATATAGAATGTAATGAATACATTTTAAACATATTTGTCAGTAATAATTAAGTTACATTAAAAAATTTTTCCACTTAATATATTAAATATTATTGTTTTTTATACCTATTTTTTGTAAAATATAATCTTATTTAGAACTAGACATATAATGAAATTTTTATGTAATATTCTTCTAATTTTCTCATTGGATCGGTTTATTTTTAGATAAAGTTATTTTAAGTGGTGAGTCTATAATCAATAAAAAAAAACTGAAATTATTCATATTTGACACATAATTAATGTTATGTCATATTTTCATTCTGTTTGACGTTTCTTTGAATATGAAGGTAATATATTGATTCTTTTTTTTTTAAAGAAAATAAGTTCAATAAAAATAAAAATAATATTATGATAAAATTAAAATTTTGATAATAAATAGTAGGAAAGTATAAGTAATTAAATTTATATTATAATTTATAAAAAAATTACATTATAACTAATTAATTTAGATTCTATATTACTTAATAAATTAAAATTTAAATAATCTAGTGAGTAATTTAAACATTGTTGTCTATTAATAAAGATGAAATTAGTTGCATCTTGTAAATTAAAAAATTTCTTTAAAAATAATGTTTAAAAAATTATCACGAACTAGTAAAAAAAAAAAACTATTTACCTGATAACACTAATAAAATCAAACAAAAACAACGAGTAAAAAAACTAAATGCATCTAAAGCATAACCTTATATTTTTAAAAGACTATTAATAGTTAATTTTTTTTCAAAATATTAAAATATAGAATGCAGTAAATCCATTCCAATTTGAAAATGTTTCTCTAATATTTATTTTATATTAAACAATTTCCCAACTTGATTATTTAAACATTCAAAGTTAAAAAATATAACGCCAATGGGTCGTACAAATTCAACTAAACATTAACGGTTCAATATAAAAATATAGAATTAGAAATATTGTTGTTCTAATATATAAATAAACGTTTTTTGTTTATTACTAAACGCCTCTAATATTTGTAGCAATTGTTTTAAAAATTATATTTAATTACAAAATAACTGTTTTATATACTTCATTAATTATTTTTTTCTTCAAAATATTGTATAATATAAAATGCAATTAAATATATTTTGTATTTGTCATTATAATAATTAAATTTTCTCAAACAATTTCCCCAGTTAAAATATTCTATATGTTTTTTTCTGTACTTATTCCTTTTTAAAGACAATCTTATCTATAACTGGAAAAAACTTGAAGTTTTTATTTGACATCTAAATTTTTCACAAAATTTGTCTATTTTGAGCTAAATTAATATTTAAGTTGAGAAATCCAAATGTGAAACCATTCATATATAAATTTTGGTATCAATATATATTTTAATTAATTTAATTCTAGTTATTAAATTTTATAAGATTAATTAATTATTTACCATTTAATTTTGAAAATTTCCCATAATTAAAAAAGTTATACCTGAACTTATCATTTTTCTGCCAGAAATCTATCAAATGAATATTCAATAAATACTTATAACTTGTGCTGTCTAAAACACGTCTTTTCGCTCAGATTATATCATCATAAGTATCACTCACTTCCTCACCAGTGCTTATCCCTTCCATTGGAGGCTGTTACTTGCTCTTACCTTCCCCTTTCAGGTTCTCACTTCCTTCAACTGTTGTTTCTGAATTATGTTTCTTTTCTTTCTGCTTTCACTTACGTATAATAGTTTCGAACATTTACACTGTGTCTGTGATGATTGTTGCTACCAAGTCCATAAAACCGTGTCAAAGACTACTTAGACGTGACTTTGTTGTGCCTTTTGAGAGCCATGGTTTCAAAGACTCAAACCCATTTTTGTTTTTTTTTTTGTATGTGTTGATTATAGACTTGTGTTAGATTTTAAAGATTACGCTTTCCCCCCGTATTCAGACTCAAAATCAGGTTTTAGTACCCGTGGTTTAGTAGAGTAACAATCCACATGGGCATAGCGTAACGTTTTTGCGATCATTAACGTGCAGCTTTGTAGCAAAAAATGATGAGTTCCTTAATCTGTGTTATTAAAGAAAATGAAAAACAGGCAAATAAGTTATATATAAACGTTAGTATGCTTAATATGTGTACGTATAAATGTAATTCTACATGTGCATACCGTGCTGCTGATGCAGTTTAGTTTGTTGGAGGTGTTTCTCTGCCTGGTTATTGGTTTTTCCCCTTCATTTCAATTTTACTAGTGTTTATGGTATACAGGGATGGATGCAAATTCTTTGACCGGTAACAAGCACGGGAAGCATCACGAGGGAGAGACGACGAATGGAAGGGTTACCAACTTCCATGATCTACCAAACGAGATCCTTCAAGAGATTATATCCAACCTATCCATCGAAGAGGCAATTCAAAGTGGTGTAATATCAAAAAAATGGAGGAATCAGTGGAAGCATATCTCAAAAGTTAGGTTGGTAGAAAAAGAAAGATATGGGAAGAGACAAGAGTTCCCAGACTTTGTGGATAATCTACTTGCAGTTTTGAATACCTCATGCCTTAAAGTATTCTCTCTCGCGTTTGACGTATGCGATGACACTCCTCTGGTAAATCGGTGGCTAAGTGGTTTCATCAAGCCCGTGATTCAAGAATTAAGTCTGGATTTTGAAGGCCTTGAGGAACCATTGGTGTTCCCTGATGACTTGTTTAGGTCCAAAGACTTGACACATTTTCATCTCAGTATGCAGCATGTTATCATGCTTCCATCTTCTATTTGTTTTCCAAGTCTGAGAAATATGACTTTGAGAGAGGTTATATTCCCTGATACTTTATCAACGCAACGACTTTTCACTGGTTGTCCCTCCCTAGAGCAGCTGTCCTTAATTGATTGTAATTGGACGAATGTTAAAACTGTTCATCTTGTTTGTCCACGGCTTCAGATGTTGATCATAAGGGAGTGGGAAGATGACGACCAGAACGATAACACTGCATTTACTCAGAATGTTCCAACTCACTGCCAAATAGTGATCACTGTAAGCAACCTGAAGACATTCTCTTATGATGGGGACCTCCTAAATGATTATTTATTGGATTCTACATCATCGATCACTGATGGAGCTGTTGAGGTTCACCCACCACGAAGCGATGACTTGGACGCTGGTCTTTTCGTGCTCAAACTTCTCAAGGCCCTCTCAGACGTGGAAAAGCTATCCATTTCTGACTTTACTGCTGAGGTTTGGTCTCATGCATATATACATATATACATGTATTCAGAGACCCTTTTGACATCTTTTGTTTGTGCGTATCACAGGCTCTGTGTCGGGGATCATCTTTGATCCCGGAACTTCCTTTGTTCAACAATTTGGTTGAGCTTCATGTGGATTCGGTAGACCCAATGGATTTGGCATGTGATGCCCTGCTGACCATATTACGGCGTTCACCTCTTCTTGAAGCTGTTAGCTTCTCCACGGTAACTCATTAGTTTAAACAAGAAATCAATTCTTCATTTGCAAATGAAATGGTTATGTTATGACTTTTATTGATTATCCAGAGCGTCTTTCTGCATAAAGATGTTGTAAACAAGGTTGATCCGTTGCCAGCGTGCCTAGAAACGAACCTCAGCACCATAAAGATATATGGCTTTACTGGGAGTAAGGAAGAGATGCTTGCCATAAAACTTTTCTTGAAATCAACGCCTGTGTTGGATGAACTCTGGGTTTTCTGCAATCCTTATGGTTTTAACAGTGACGAGGGATCAGAGAGGCTCGACAAATTGTTCAAGAAGATAGCGCGATTTGCTAGAGCTTCGGTGGATTGTGAGTTATATTTGGAGTAGAGGGATAATAGATATATTATCATGTTCAATTAATTCTCCTGTTTTGTTCTTTAAAGCGCCTTGTTTCTTTCATAAACCAAGATTTGTTGCATGTTTCATGTTTCCAATTTTATTTCGGGTAATGATGTATGAATATTTTTCATGTTTAGTTATTCAAAGAAAAAATTCTATTTCTTCCTTTTTTTCACATTATATTATTTGTAATACATATATATTTTTGTTATAACTTTTTCGATATCATCTAAGTATCACATGTTATATTTGTAATATATATATATATATATATATATATATATATATATATATATATATATATCATTTGTTATTGTATGAAATGTTATATAACATTTTTTTTATTCTCTACATGCATGTTTTTTATTTATAAAAACAATAATATTTTAATATAATAATATGTAATTTCATTTTACAACTTCAAATTTTAAAATAATTATGTATTTTATATTAGTAAATTATTCGATGATGTTAGTAAATTATAAAATAGTCATTTATTATTAGTGAAACAATTATTTTTTATATAATAACAATTATTTTTTATTAGAATCTTAAAATAATAATATTAATAAATTAACAAATTCATTATATATATATATATATATATATATATATATATATATATGTGTGTGTGTATTCAATAAAAGTTTTATTAAAAAAATACTAAACTTGTCTTACTTGAGAATATAACTTACCCCTTTATGAATAAATCTCAGATTTATAGACATAAATTACATTAAGTTTTGATAAAAAGTATTTTATTTATAATTTGAAAATATAGTATTATTATATGAAAATATGTTTGAAAAAATTGCTTGATATTAAAATATAATTACGGTGTATTATCTATCATTAAACTTAAATATTACATTTTATTACTTGGCAGAATATGATTTTATAGTTTACTCGAATTAGTTAATTAATTCTATTTAAGACAATTACATTATACAATGTTTAACTTTATAGTGAAACATATTAATAGGATTGCATGATATAGATAGCAAATCTATATTTTTCTGAGAAGACATTGAATGAGTTTATTTGAGAAAGAAAAATAAACCTTGATAATCTAATTTATTAGTTCTTATTCATACAGAAAAATATATGATTTTATATAGTAGGAAACTATATTTGTTAACAAACACATGGTGAAATTATTAATATTGTGCTATATATGCTATAAAGAATGTTAAAATAAAATAAAATAAAATATATTTGTGATATTATTCACATCAATAAATAACATTTAAATAAATAACATAGTTATATATTCTTCTATCAATATGTGGTATCAATAGAAAAAATAGCATGATAAAAAAATCATATAAGTTATATTATAAGAAAAAAAATAGCAAAAAATAAATAATAATTTAATAAACTTAGATTTTTCTCACTGAACCATTACTAGATGAAACTCTATTATATTGCTGTTTATTTCTGAATATATATTTACGAATTAATAAAATCTTGAAAATATATCTTCTAGAACTTTTAAAAATCTTACCATTGATGAATGTAGCTGGTATTGTATGTTTGGGCATGGTGGAATATTTGAACGTCCCCACCGCGAATCTTAGTCGGAACTGAAGGGGTGGTGTTATGGAAAGTATTATTACTCTTATATAATTTATAATTTTGATTCTTTAAATTTAATAAATATTTAATATATTTAGTTTTATATTTATAATTTTATTTTTCAATTTTCTAAATTTTATAATTTTCATATAATTTATAATTTTATCATTCTCAAACTTAATAATCATTTAATATATTTAAATATATATTTATAATTTTATCTTTTTACTTTCTATCTCCTTATTTCATTTTATATTTATTTATTATTTATTAATAATATATTATTTTTCTTCTCCAATATCAATTTTCAACATCAGCAACTGCCCCACCGAGGCCAAGCCAAATACATCTGCCATTTTGTGAAATTATTTTATGTACGGGTGGATTTGTGGTCCAACAAATTGGAGTTACAAATTAAAAAAACTCTCCACCTGTTGGGTCTAGCATTAAACCACGTGATTTGTGTTCTAAACGCTTACGCAACTCAGTAGAACCTTCCTCGGAAGATGACGAGTACCTAAGAGAATTGGGTTGTTTATATGAAGAGGTGGTGGGTCTTCGCTGTCCACAAAAACTGTTTTCAGGTGCAACATAAAGACTCATCAATACTCTTGCAAATGGCTTCCATTTCCACAGTAGCCACCACTGCCACTAACTCAAACATGATAACCATGGAGATTCCAAACTTTGTCCGAGTTTACAAAGATGGCACAGTTGAACGCCTCCAAGGCTCTCCATTTGTGCCACCCACGCTTGAAGATCCAACTACAAAAGTATCATCCAAAGACGTTATCATCTCGAACAACCCTCCCATATCTGCTCGTGTATACCTTCAAAACAGGATCCGATCTCAGGAGGAGGGTCTCGACAACAACCATAAAGTCCCCATCTTGGTCTACTTTCACGGTGGAGGATTTTTCTTCGAATCTGCCTTCAGCCAACTCCACCATAACTATCTCAACATGCTGGTCTCCGTAGCAGACATTTTAGTGGTTTCTGTGGAGTACAGGTTGGCACCAGAGACCCCTCTACCTGCAGCTTATCATGACTGCTGGGAAGCTCTTAAATGGGTGGCCACCGACAACACTGATCCATGGCTTCCTAAACACGGTGATTTCAACAGAGTTTTCATCGGGGGTGATAGTGCTGGTGGGAACATAGCACATAACATCGCCATGCGTATTGTTTCTCATCCCTACTTCTTCGGTTCAAAGGCAATTGGGTGTGAAGCTGTGGCAGGGCATGAAGAGAGCTCGGGCTTTAGGACTTGGGAGATGGTTCACCCCTCTTGCCCCGGTGGGCTTGACAACCCGCTGATAAATCCGTTGGGTAGCGAGGCACCATCGTTGAGTGGGCTTGGGTGTTGGAAGGTTCTTGTTTGTACGGCGGAGAGGGATGTGATGAGGGACAGAGCAGTGTGGTACTATGAGCGTGTGAAGAAGAGTGGCTGGGAAGGGGAAGTGGAACTCTATCAAGTTGAAGGCGAGGAACACGTTTTTCACATCTACAATCCACGGACCCAAAATGCTCACAAGATGCTAAAGCGCTTTGCGGATTTTCTCCTCCACTAGACAATTACTTTCTCTTCATTGAATCGCGAGTGATATAATAAAAATAAACTTAGACACAGCGACTCAATCACCTACTAAAGCAAACATGGTTTATATGTTTAATCAAATAAATTTAGACTGAAACCACGTTTTAATCAAAGTTTTGTAATTTACAGTAGTTGGGTGGACTATATTTGACTCTACCAGCAATAAACAGATAAAATAATAATAATAATTATATTCTAGCAAGCTTTCATTCCATGTTAATTAAAGAAAGAAGGTAGTAGATATTAGTATAAAATATGTGATAGTTCAGTTATGGAAATGATGTGTTGATGTATTTAAACCAACCTAAGGAATAAACGGAGAGATAGAAATAGAAATAGAGATTCCTTAAATGGCTTCAGCAGCTGGAAACAAGTCGAAAGAGATAGAAACAGAGATTCTTCCTGCAATCCGTGTCTACAAGGATGGCAGGGTGGAACGCCTGATGGGGTCTCCGATAGTGCCATCTTCCCTCCAAGACCCCGAAACCGGTGTCTCTTCCAAAGACATCGTTATCTCCCACCACCCCTCCATCTCAGCTCGTCTATACCTTCCCAAATCCACCCAATTCAAACCCAACAAGCTTCCCATCTTGCTCTACTTCCATGGCGGCGGATTCGTCATCGAATCCGCCTTCTCCTTCCTCGACCACCGCTACCTTAACCTCATAGTCTCCGAAGCCAACGTTGTGGCCGTGTCCGTCGAGTACAGGCTGGCGCCAGAGCACCCTCTTCCTGCCGCTTTTCACGACTGCTGGGAAGCCCTCAATTGGGTCACTTCCCATGCAAATTCCAACACCACCACAGAGCCGTGGCTTCACCATCACGCTGACTTCAAGAGAATCTACATAGGAGGAGACAGCGCTGGCGCTAACATTGCCCACAACGTGGCTCTTCGCGCTGGGGTTGAAGCCTTGCAAGGGAAGGCCAATATATTGGGTGCGTTCCTCTCCCACCCTTACTTCTGGGGCTCCCTCCCTGTTGGCTCTGAACCCAACGAGGGTCTATCGCACTTGCACGCGCGGATTTGGAACCTGGTGTACCCTACTGCGCCGGGTGGGATCGATGACCCTGCGCTGAATCCGTTAGGTCCTGGTGCTCCCAGCTTGGCCACACTTGGATGCTCCAAGTTGCTTATTTGTGTGGCTGGGAAAGACGCGCTTAGGGAGAGAGGGGTTTGGTACTGCGAAGCTGTGAAGAAGAGTGGGTGGCAAGGTGAAGTGGAGCTGTTTGAGGTGGAAGACGAAGATCATGCATTCCATATTTACAACACCGACACCCACAATGCCAAACATATGATAACACGCATCGCTTCCTTTCTCGTTTGAGTATTATAGTTGATTTTGATTCGAAGTTTTTTCATAATAATATTGTTTGCAAGTTTTTGCAAATTAATTTTGCTTATAGCATGCCCATGTTCTAAAATCAAATAAAATGTAAGTTTTTTTTTTTTTTTTTTTTCAGAAGTCTATTCTAATTCTTTATGTAAGCTCTCTTTTAAGTGAATAAACATTAGCATATTTTGCTTAATCTTTCTCCTAACATGGTTTTTGAAATTTGCAAACATCTATTTAATTTAAATATTAATGTTTCTCAACTACATGCCAAATAATCTTACTCTTCTAGAATAAATGGTGTAATATAAAATATGATAATAATTTTCAATACAAATTTAATAATTCAAAATTTCATTACAAAATTAAATATACACTCATTAAAAAAAATCAAACTTTAATGTTGGTTTATAATGACAATTGTTTAAGACTTTAATGCTTTATGTTTTTTATGAAAATGGAGAAAGGCAAATATCCACACTTGCCTCATTTATTCACACACTCAGTTGTATTTCATATAAAACTTTCTCTTTTTCTTTTTAACTCTTTTTCATTATTATAATTTTTTTCCTATGTATTTTATTTTTTTCTTTTAATTTTCTCTTTAAATATTTCCTACCCTAAAATAAAAAAAAATTAATGTTTTAAAATAATTTAAAATATATTTATATATTTATTTTAAATAATAATATAATATAATTTAAATCTAAATAAAATAAATATTTTAAATAAGCGAATCTGTAAATACATTTTAAATTATTTAAATTAAGATAAATATTTTAAAAATGATAAATAATATTAACGTTGACTTAATAATTTATTGATTAATTTAAAAAATAATTAATTATTTGAATTTCAATCTAAGTAATTTATTAAATATTTATCTTCATTTTAAACAATTTAAAATATATTAAATGATATATTTTATTTAGATATAAATTAAATTAAATTATTATTTGAAATAAATGTATGAATATCTTTGAAATTATTTTGAAGTATAATCTTTTAAAAAATTATTTTTTTATCCTTAGATAATTGATGAAAAATCAATTATAAAAAGATAAATTTGAAAACAAAAAGTACAGGTCATAAAAATTTAATAAATTTCAATATTTAAAATAAATATGTGTAAATATTAGATGATAAAGTGTGAGGAGGGAGACTAACTTGCTATTATGGGCTTAATCCAAAGGATTTTCTATTTTTTCTTTTTGTCATTTTTCACTGAACATACCTGGCTTTGGGCCTGCCCAACCCATTCCGTGGATCCAATGCATCAAATTAGACTTATTATTATTATTATTAATATTAAATTGGCTTAGACTTTTTTTATTATTATTATTAAATTGGCTTAATTTTTTTAGTGTTATCAATGACAATTTTGTTTCATCACTACACTAGGATTAAGAGTATATTTACACATTCTTTTTCTATAAATTCTTTTAAAAAGCAAAACTAAATTTTTATAAACTAAAAATAATTTATACATAAATTAAAAAATATTTAAAAGAAATTTTACAAATTAATTTGAATTTATAAAAAAAGTATTTTATTTTATTCTTTAAAAAAAATTTATGAAAAATTTATGTGCAAGCAAATTCAATTAGGTTTTTCATATATATGAAAAAAAAATTCTGACACAAATTTTTAATTTTAATTCATTTACATATTTTAAATTAATTATATATTAAAGTAGGTGACGGCTTCGCTTAGTAGGTGGGGTGACATAATTGACTGCACGTGTTTGACTTCGGGTAGGTTTGGTGGCAACTTTGCGTTGACATTAATAAAAATTATTCAAATAGATTGGGTAGTGTTACGTTAATTACTGGTTACAACTCAATTTCATATCATTTCTATAAATAATTCTCTTTTAATATTATAATAATAATTTTAATTTATTTTTATTTTTATTAAATCATTTAATAAATTATTAAAAAAAATAAGTTATTTAAAAAGTTATATAATTTTTTATTGTCAAAATATCACCACTCAATTATTAATTTAATTTATTTACAATAATTATATTTCAATAGTGAAGTTTTATATTGACAGACAACTACATTAATAATAATTAAATCGGTATTCGAATAAATTGGGTAGTGTTATGTTAATTACTGGTTAAGTTATTATAATTCAAATTATTTACAGACATAAATTAACTTAGTTATTGATAAAAATATTAGCTGAAGTTTGTACAAAATTTAAACTTAATATAATATCCTAACCCTTTTGTGTTTTTGAATTTCTTTTTCCCAAGTTCGTTTCAATCATATGCTTCATCTTGGCCAAAATTAATATTAACTTTTGATAAAATTTTAATTTAAATTACCCTTTTGAATGTTTTCTTTTTTCAGGCTATTGAATATCAGAACTTACAAATTATGCTGTTAAACAATTTAGATTAAATAACCCTCATAATAATAAATTAATTAAAAGTGTATTTTATAGACTTCTTTTCATATGATAAATTGTAAGTTTAATATATTTGTTAGTCCTTTTAAATGGCAATATTTATTTTAGTCTTCGTTTATTTTTGTGGATTTTATTTATTATAGATTTTCAACTTTTTAAAATAATATGGATGACCAAGTAAGTAGATCTAAACTTATTTTAGTCAACATTAAAGTGGTAGACGAGGTAGTATATATATTTTGATGCATCACATGTCATGTATTACCAAATGAATACAACGACTATTTTAATCAAATTAAATTTATCATGATTCAAGTTTTTTTTTAATAGACTGGATCTGGATCTAAGGTTCATAAGAACTTTTTTTTCCACAGTGACCGAAAGCCTATATAATTATAAATTTAATCATAATTATAAATATTTTGCTTTAATAATATTTACCAGCAAAAATTAATAAATAATTTAAAAAATATTATTTAGACAAAAACCAAATATGATGAAAAATCGTACCTGTAAATATAAAATCGCTATTAGACTTTTAAAATAAGAATATATTATTTTTGTACATTTTTTTAATTTTTTATTATATTTTTCGTTGCATTATTAACGTTATGATTAATATATTTAGTTGAGAATGAAAACAAGATAACGATGTAATTTTTGTTTGATTAAAAAATGAAAAAAAAAAGTTCTTTAATTCAGATTTTAAATTCTCACCCTTCAAAGGAAATGAATCACACACACCCCTTTCTTATTCTTTTTTCTCTTTTCGGTAATTTTAAAATTAATTATAGAAATGCTTTATAAAAATGAAATTTTGGTATATCTAAAAAGAAATAAGAACATAAAAAATGTGGACTAGTCTTCCACTTGCCTACATTTCAATTTTCTACAACCGAAAATACAGCCATCGTTTCTATTTGATTCGACTTTTGAGACCATGTACGAGTAGTAAACAATAACGTAAAAAAACACACACACACACACACACACAAAAGAACACAGTCCAAGGTAACGACAATAAAGACACCAACTTTGACGATCACTCTGGTATCGAGTTATTTAAGGAAGTCTCACTCTTTTCCCATCTCTCACCAGAAGCCTAAACCTTCCTTCTGTTAATCTGTTCATCCTCTCAGTTTTCTCCACCATCATCTTCTCTCTATTTCCTTCAATGGCCAACGACAAGGAGATAGTGATGGAGCTTCTTCCCCTTATACGAGTCTACAAAGATGGCACAGTTGATCGTCTTCTAAGCTCTCCAAACGTACCACCCTCCCTTGAAGACCCTGAAACTGGGGTCTCATCAAAAGACGTCGTAATCGCAGATAGCCCTTATGTCTCTGCTCGCATTTTTCTTCCAAAAAACCACAACAATCCCACCCACAAACTTCCCATCTTTGTCTACTTCCATGGCGGCGCCTTCTGCGTTGAATCAGCCTTCTCCTTTTTTGTTCATCGCTATCTTAACACCTTAGTCTCCCAAGCTAACATAATTGCCATCTCCGTTGACTTCAGACTCCTCCCACACCACCCTCTTCCTGCAGCATACGAAGATGGTTGGACCAGTCTCCAGTGGATTGCTTCCCACGCCACCAACAACGCTACCAACCCCGAGCCATGGTTACTCAACTATGCTGATTTCAACAAACTCTACGTCGGAGGTGAAACCAGCGGTGCTAACCTTGCACACAACTTGCTTCTCCGTGCAGGGAATGAATCTCTGCATGGAGATCTCAAAATCTTTGGTGCTTTACTCAGCTCTCCCTTCTTCTGGGGCTCAAAGCCAATTGGGTCAGAGCCTGTTGAGGAGCACGAGCAGAGTTTGGCCATGAAGGTGTGGAGCTTGGCGTGTCCTGATGCACCTGGTGGAATCGATAATCCATGGATCAACCCTTGTGTTCCCGGGGCACCCTCCTTGGCCGCACTTGCGTGCTCTAAGATTCTGATAACTATTACTGGGAAGGACGAGTTCAGAGACAGAAATATTCTGTACCACGACACTATTAAGAAAAGTGGTTGGCAAGGAGAAGTTGAAGTGTTTGATGGTGGTGATGAGGAACACGCTTTCCAACTCTTCAAGCCTGAAACTGATAGAGCTAAAGCCATGATCAAACACTTGGCTTCTTTTCTGGTGTGAATGTTATTTCCCTTTGTTACGATTCAGTCAAGCCAATCACCATTCATGTATTGGCATCATGTAAGAGATTCATTCAAATAATAAAAAGGGTGGTTTGACTTGTCTTGTGGCATCATTTAATTCTAATTTATATCTTTGTCTGTTTATAAAACAAATGTGTAAAAAAGATGAAGATGGTGGGTGGGGACCTTCCTTTGAAATACTACAATTTCTGTTGAAGTTGTGGATGAAGATGAGGGCACCCTCATCACACTTCCCTTGCATTTTGAATTGAGGTTGTTGCTTAATTGAATCCATTCCAATTCAAAATCTATATAAAGACAACTTTGATGCAAATTGAAGGATAGTGTAAAATTGACTTTTGTGTTGGTCTTGGCTCATTGTAGTGAGAAAAATATTTGATTTTAAACACCTGTATGAGTTAATATTGTTGGTTAATGTTTTCGTAACACATACTGAAACTTTTAACTGCGAATAATTAATAATCTTAAATGATTTGTCATGTTTAAATAAGTATAATAAGGTAGGATTATAACTTTAAGCGTGTTGAATTTAATCTTTAGTGAACACAAACTACGCAAATTTATTTTTCATTTGTGTCTTATTAAACTCGTGTTGAATATAATAATCTTAAAAGTGGTTGAATATGATAAGTTACGATTATAGCTTACAAAATTATTTTTTTAACAAAACTTTCATTGTGAAAATCTGAAGGTATCTCTCCCTGTAAACTTTTAACCTAGCAAAATATTATTTAATGTAATCATTGATGCTTGGATTTTTATAACATAACTAGCGGTTTACTATAAACACTTTTTTTAGAAAGTTTCATGCATGCTATGATTAAAAAAAATATTATAATTAATAAAATAAAATAAACAAATTAAAATGTAAAAAATTATTGAAAATATTAATTTGTGAATAAATAAGAATAAAATTTTGAATCTTATAATAAGAAGGAATAAAACTCTGGCATTTAACTATTATGTCAATTGATTTTTTCATGATATGGTGGACCATAATCATATCATATGACTTCCACAGAAATTAAATAATAATCAATCTTTTAATAATTTTTCTAAATTATAATATTAAGAAACTCGTCAGTAGGAAATAGTTTTAATTGAAAAAGAAAGATTCTCAATAGCAAAGATTCCTTTAAAATAATAACAAAGGTTTATCTGCTCTATTTTTTTTTTCACCAGGACTATCTATCTACCTTTTTATTCTCTATCTTTAATTAAAAAAAAAGGAGACAAAAACTTTAATAAACATATATACTTTATATATAGAGAGAGAAAGTAAAATATAAGAAACATTTTTGTAACTATCAGCTTGTTCTAATTTATTACGGTATTATTGAATTATTAAATCAGGCGTGTATATATAACATCTCAAACATCTCTTCGAAATTATTACATACGAAATGAAAGCAACAGCTTAACTACGACCACTTACTTAGCAGTAGCAGGTCCACCTACACCTTTTTCCTATTAACAACATATAAACCACATGATAACTCCAAGTTGGTGTGAACATGTGTTTTCATTTTTTTTTAATATAAATGTTTAGATAAGTTTAGTGCGTTTAATTGAGTTTTTATTTTACTTTCTACCTTTTTCATTAAAAAGTAATTTGTTATTTTAAATCTAATTTATGTTCTTAAAGATTTATATGAGAAATTATAAAATTGAGAACAAATCAAGTTAGAAATATTGTAAGAAGTTTAATAATAACCTTTAGATCAAATATTTGATCCAAATTATTTTTTTATATAATTATTTATGTAACTCTCTTATACATTTGTTTGGTTTTCTTGTGATTCTTAGACGTGACAAAACAATGTCTTTTTCTTCTCTATGAAACTAAAAGTCACCAAGTTTTTATATGTCATGAGAAAATTAAAATTACATGCATACAGAGAAGATAATGGTAAAGAATTTTTAAGATTGCATAAACAGAAAAGGGAAATTCTTTATTCTAAATTTTTAGGGTATATATGGTAAATGGGTGTGATGCTCGGTCTATGCTTAATAATGCATTAAAAAAAAGTGTAAAATAAAGAATTTTAAATTCCTTGTAAATTATTTTTTGCAATTAATATTCCCTTCCAAAATGTCAAAGGAAATGAATTTCATCAATTACATTTTACATTAATACTGGAAAGTTACAACTGAAAGAAGGAATTTGTTGATATTTTCGTCCTACTGATTACCTTAAAAAACACAAATTAATGCAGAATCACAACTAAAATTTTAGATTAGAACTGTCAACTAACGTTCCCTCTTGCATTTGCATTCTGCCCTCTACTGCTATCAGAGAATGAACCCTGGCCAAGATAGCTTGATCTCTTCTTTCTGTGAGTACTCCAGGAAAATATATGCTCGTTTTCATGTTTCCGGGAATTTATTTCTTCAGGCTTGAGTCTCTTAGAGCCAGGAGTCTCGTCAAAATTGTCTTCACCTGATCTGCCATTCCTTAACTCTAATGACCCTACTTCTCTCCCCGTGTCATCACTAGATTGTGCATGGTTGTCAACAGTGAGGTGGTGTCTTCTTTTCCGTTTGACTGAAAGCTTAGATATGTCCTGTCCATTCTCCACAGCCTTCAACCATTGTACATCACTTAATGTATCTGCGTATACCACTTCTTTTCTTTTCCGCTTTCCGATACCACTGCCACTGTCAAAAGCTTTGACATTATCATCCTTATTATTAAGTGGAGAGTACACCCAATCTGGTAGTTCATGCTCCTCCATGAGACGAGTTCTGTACTCCTCCTCTTGCCTTCTTTCTTCATCCATTGTCTCAAAAAGCCAAAATTCCTCATCAGATCGGGCCGCAAGGCGGTTAATTTCTCTCTCACTTGGCACATCTGTACCAAGTGAGCTAGTACCTCTGCGCATAATCTCCTCCAACATTTCCCTTCTGTCTTGTGCTGCAATAAATAAAATACCACATGTTTAGACAGTTCATTTTTAGCAACTTAGGAAGCACAACAGACATGGTGGCACAGGTATGTTCTAGGTTGCGCATGACTTTTTTTCTAAATAGAACAAGAAAACGAAAGACCTGATATGAATTCTTACAAAAGTAATGTTCAAAATTAGGAGAAGGTCAAATACAATGAGGAATGCAAAAGTTCTCTTCAGTTCATAACCAACATATTATAGCTGCTGAAATGCTCAACCGATAAAACAGGTTTTCATATTAGAGGATAAGATTGAGTGCATAAATTACTAGGTTCAGTATAAAAGGACATCAAATCAATGATGAATCTGCATCAAGCATTAACATGTCATGAATAATACAGGAGTACTACTTCTGTAATTTATTTATCGCTCTAGAAGCAGTTTGGCACATAGAAAATATTATAGTTCATGAAGGTCATCAATAGAATATGCAGCAATTTGCAAGGAAAATACTTCCTTTAAAATCTAAAGCTGCGAACAAAAGAAACATCCTCTATTAATCCCCCCTTTACAAAATCCAACGACATGCTTTTAATTTCAGCAAAAAACGGCTCCTCATAAAATAGCCTCAAATATGAAGAACACACCTGTCGAAGTTGTGTTAAAAAGCCCCGCCTGAATAACTTTAGCATCAATTCCCATCTTTTGATTAGCACGCTCTAAAATCACCTCTTCAATTGATCCCACACTTACTAAAACAAAAACTCTAACTTCCTTTTTTTGTCCAATGCGATGGGCTCGATCCTCAGCTTGTTGATCCATTTGCGGGTTCCAATCACTGTCAAAAATTATAACAGTATCTGCTGTTTGTAAGTTCAAACCAAGACCTCCAGCACGGGTGCTCAATAGAAACATGAAGTATGGAGAATCAGGTGCATTGAATTTCCGTAGTAGGGAACCTCTTTCCTCAGTTTTTGTTGAGCCATCTAGTCTAAGAAATTTAAAATCATGTAGTCGCAAATAAATTTCAAGAATATCCATGAGCCGAGTCATCTGTGAAAAAAGGAGGACTCTGTGACCAGCTCTACGAAGTTTTGGAAGCAAGCGGTCAAGAAGTTCAAACTTTCCTGATGATCGGACAATCTCCTCCTTGTGCTTATAGATATCATAGTCACCCACAAAGAGGTAGGGATGGTTACAACATTTTCTGAGTTGCATTGTCAAGTTCTGTAGACTTTTTGATTTTCCAGAACCTGCATATTGTTCTCAAATTAGTAAAAAGATAGGAAAATGAGTTCCCAAGAATCAGTTAAATATACAAGGAAGTAAAAACCAGCTAATATTACAGGGTTGGATTTTTGTTGTTGGGTACGAAGATTACAGTACAGGGGTGAAAATTTTCCTTTCATAAAAGGAAAACAGAAGAACACCAGCCCCAGGTAACCAGGAATCATATTAGTATCGAATTGACAAAAAATCTTATTTCGCCAATTCATCACGGTACCAACTGGTGAAACAGCAAAAACAAATTAACAACAACTGAATGGCGAAAAGGAATCACGTTTACTTCCCAATAGATGGTCAGAACCATTTCAATTGTCAAGTGTTTTGACTTTTGAGAATCAACTAACAATGGGGTGGATATACAAAATATCTATAGCAGAAGCAAACCAATATTCATATCAAATTTGGGAAAAACAATTGCATCTTTATAAGGTCAAGAGGTGTGGATTAGGAAATAACTGGAAAGCAATTGCGATACACACCGTTGTGTAACCCAACTCTGCCGACGTCAGTGACTTGTTGATAATATACTTTCTGCCATGCTGATAAGTCACATTTCAGTATAACCTGAGATTTGCTAGGAAGAAATTTTTCCACCTCATCCTTTTTCCTTCTCAGTATGAAGGGCCTTATCACCTAAAAGTGTGAATGATATTCATCAGAATGGTGTTAACAAAAGAAAGAAAATAAGAAACAAGAGAGAAGCTCACTTGATGTAGACGCCGAATGATCAATAACTGTTCTTCATCCGTTAGAGAGACATCAACTCGGTCTGCAAAGGGAGCATTAAACCAGTCCTCGAAAT